AATAATAATAATAATAATAATTTATAACGACAGAAATAAAATATTAATTAATTAATTAATTAAATTATAACGTTATCAATTGTTTGTACAAACTTTATCTAACAACACGTGCAAAAAAAATTGTTTTTTTTTGATTAACGTACAACAAACAACAACGCAAAAAAAAAAAAAAACAATTTTAAAAACAAATTTGTTTTGTCTTTAACCATAATAATAATAATAATAATAATAATAATAATAATTTCGAGTTAAAAGAATTTGTAATTTATTATCTCGATAATAAATAATAATTGTTTATCGAAACGCTACTTACTACCCCGTAATAAATTCAATTCAATGATAATAATATTTATAAAAAGGTTATATAGGAAAAAAATTATTACCGAGTAATTTTTATTATGTTAAAAAATTAAAGTAATAATTTTAATAATAAATAATGATAGATAAAATAATATAATACGAAACAGGGAGAGAGAGAGAGAGGGAAAAAAACCACAAAATTCGAAAGGTGGTAATGATGTGTGTGTGTGTGTGCACGTGCGAATGTATGTAAAGCGATGTTTTTGTTTCAAAGGAAAGGTCACAGTTAATGAAATAATTAAAAATGTCGGAATATTAATTTTTTTTGTTTGTTTTACAGGTTACAAGGGTGGTTCACACCCGTCAGATAAAAACTCAACCCATGATGGATATCGTAATAGCCATAATATCCGTGCCACTATTGGTAACGTTTAGTTTTATGTTACAACGACACATGCGATCAGATTGGCTACATAATTTAGAAACAAGGTGGAGAATATTGGGACTCGGTCTTTCCCTATTATTTATTAGTTTAGTCGTTTGCTTATACGTAATACACAGGTTGGGATTGTGCATATGGGCAGCACAGCAACAAAGAGAACTACGTCAAAATCCAGAAATTTGTCGAAGAGTTACACAAATACCAAATAATAATTGCGTGAGTGTGTGTTACATTGCTTAATTCAATCACCTATTAATTAAACAACTCTCTTTTTCTTTTTAAATTGTATTTAATTATTGTTTTCGACAAACGACGTTTGAAATTTCTAGAAAGGTAACAAAACTATAATTATGTATAAATAAAATTTTTTTTTTGACATTATAGCCACCATCTCTAGCGGCTACTAATAGTCAAATTCAGCTCATGGTAGGGGGAGGAGAATTGCCACCGAGTTATGATTCAATAATGAAAAATTCAGATTTTCCACCACCTCCTTATCTATCTGTTTTAATTTACAATGAAAAAAATGATACCGTGCCAGAAGTTAATGATAAAGAACAAAATATTCAAACCATCACCAATACCGAGCCAAGTTTCAACCAGGAAAGATCTCAAGAAAGTTCACAACAGCAAGAACAACAACAACAACAACAGCATCATCAATTACAAACAGGCTGAAAATAATTTTTTCAATTAATAACAATAATAAATCATAAATTTCAATAACAAAACAAAACAAAAAAAAATTATTACATTTTTTTTTTTAAATTAAACACCACCAAAGAGTTTTTGTTTTATAATTGAATGATCAGACAAATGTTGTTGTTGTTGTTCAGTAAAGTAATAATAATTTTTTTTTTTTGTAATAAATGTAAATGTTAATTATTAATTTACAAAAAATTATAAAAAATTTATCCTATAAAATATATTATGCTTTTTTTTTTTTGTTTAGCATGGAAAACTAAATAAATGTGACTAAAATTTAAAATAATAATAAAATAATTAGTGCAATCATTACAAAAAAAAAATTAAAATTTTTCATTATTATTATTATTGTTGTTTTAATAATGAATTGAATTTTTTTTTTTTTAAATAAAATAACTGTTTTCAAATACAATAACTGCACATATTATTTATTATTGTTGTTAGTTCACACTCTAAAAAATTTTATTAATAAATGATAATGAAAATGAAAATGTTAAATGATATTAAAATAAAAAGAAACAGGAAATAGTATTTCATTTTTTACATCTGACAGTTTTTTTTTTTTGAATACCTAAGACCTTTAAGTAAAATATATAACAATATAAACCTGATTTGGGAATTGTATAAATGCAGGAATAAAAAAAATTTCATGCAAATGGTTTGTTTGTATAATAAATAATTGTTTTTTTTAACTTGAAAATTTTTCACCATAACACTTGACATTATGTAAAAACCTGTATTTCTTTTTTCACCAATTGTTACAGCCTTTATACCTATTATACCTAAACCTTTGATAGACTTTGATATACTATTAATGCCTTTATACCTATATGCTTTATACCTATATGCTTTGTACCTATATGCTTTATACCCATATGCTTTATACACATATACTTTATACCCATATGCTTTATACCTATATGCTTTGTACCTATATGCTTTATACCTATATGCTTTATACCTATGTTGTAGCCCATACCTTTGATTCATGTAAAAACCCTTTTTATAAATAAAGCAAAGTATAAGTATCTCATTTTTATTGTTTGCATAATACCATGAAGAGTAATTTCATCATGAATATAATATGCATAAGATTTCTCCATCATTAACGGTAAAAACAAATGATTTGGAAAAAAAAAGGCAAAGATTTTGTTATATTAAACCATAATAGTTATAAAAATCAATTTTGATTAAATTCAAATCGTTTGACTACACAAAACGTACAATAAATCTAAAAAAGTTTTTCTTACCGTTAAAAAGAACATGGCGGCCTGTATTTCAAAAAGCACAATTGGTGGTACTAACACTTAAACATTTATAAATAACTTAAAAAATTACAGTTAAAGTTAAAAAAACACTCAGAAATTATATGTCAGGCATAAATCGTAACAAAATGCACATAAATATAAATTCAAAAGAAAAAAAAAATGAAATAAAACGTTTAAAAAAGAAAAGTTTTTAAAATAAGCTTGCAGACATTTTTAACGACAAAAATTTTTCATACCTTTTGCCACGTTCAGACGTGGCTACAGCTGGTTTTGCTCGATTCAAAATATCGTACTTTATATTTACTTTGTTTATTTATAAAAATCAATTAGTTTTGTTTTTAGTATTTTTATTATTATTATTATTATTATTATTAAATAATATTCAACTTTATTATTATTAGTTAAAATAAATTTTTTTTTTTTTTTAATAACTGCTTCCTTTCTGTGTTAGGTCATGTACTTAAATACTAAAAGGATTATAAAAAAAATATACGTCCTATCAGAAAAAGGACTGGAAATGAATAACAAACTGAATTTACCAGATGGTATTAAAAATTATTTTCACGAAGAACGATAATTAATTATATCCACCCGTCAGCAAATTTCTTTTTTTTTCTAATAAAAAAAAAATCTTATTTGATATGGATGAAGATAACAGTGTTAACGACACTGCTAACTCAGAAAATATTTTTACTGAGGTCGATGATGCATATGATAATTTAAAATCTATTACTTTAAATAGTTCAAATGATGATGACAGCAATGAAATACAAGAAGTGGAATTATCTCAATCGACTGCAGAAACTTGCAGCAATGATTCGCAAAATTTTGTCGAAAGTGATCACTCAAGTTCAGAATATGTAGAAAGTGAAAGTGAAAATATAATAGCAAATGGAGATGTCATTACAGAATTTAAAAAATTAAAAAAACTAAATAAAATATTAAACGAAGACATAGCAAAATTAGAAAAAATCAATGAAAAATTAGAGGCTGACAGGTGTCCAGAATTACACGAATTGCAATTAGAAACATTAGAAACAACTATATTACAACAAAAAGATGAAATTACTAGGTTAAAAAATTTATTAGAAGAAGGAGAAGGTACTTTTCAAAAAACAATAGCTCAGTTAAAACAAGATTACGATTTGAAATTAGAAAAAGTAAGCGATAAAAAATAATTTTCTCAATAATATAAATCAATCTCTTATCGTTCTAATTATCATGATGTATATATTTTTTTCAAACAGTTATCTAAACAATATGATTTAGCTAAAAAAGAAAAGGAATCAATGGTCATGAAATATGCAGTAAGCGAAAAATCCGTTATAGATCTCAAGCGTGAAATTCAATCATACGAATTAAAATTAAAAGAAAACCTTAAAGATAAAGAAACTAACATGGCAAAATTAAAATGTGCTATTAATGAAAAAAATAAAGTTATTCAACTTCTCGAATCTAAAGTAAGTATAAACATAAGATAAATAATTTATAAATCGAAAGAGAATTTTTTCAATTATTAAATTAAAAATTTTAGAATTCAGAAATATCACAATTAGAAAAAGAAAATGCGAAAAAAAAATATGACATAAGCATGCAAGATTCAAAAATCAAATGGATGCAGGGAAGACTTAAAGCCGAAATGGATAACCATGTTGAAACGCAGGGAAAATTGGAAAAATTACAGCAAAAACTTAACGAAACAAGAGAAGAAGGAGAACAATATAGAAAACAATCACAGGCTCTTATTAAAAGTTATCAGGAAGCGCAAGAAGAAAAAGTTAATTATGAAAATGAACAAAAAGCTAAACTCATAATTGACAAACATGATGAAGAAACGACAGCAAAATTACAAACTGAATTAGAAAATATGAAAACGAGATTGCAAAATTTAATTGAAGAAAATAGTTTTTTTAACACTAAAGTATGTTTTCTTTTTTCCCTATCAGTAGAAAATTGATTTTATCAATATAATAATAATGTTATTTTTAAAAACTTTTTGAATAATACCTTTAGGTTCAAAACTTAGAAAAAGAAAGATTCGAATATGAAGAAAAATTAAAAAAATATTCTAGAGATATTGATATGCAAAAACAGACAATATTCGATTTACAATCTCAATTAGCAGAATATGAAACAATGTCATTTTTGTTAAAGCAGTAAGGCAATACATTTTTTTATTTGTTTTTCTTATTTTTTTTTTTGAAATAATTACAACAAAATTTATCATTTTTTTTTTTTCTAAAATAAGGGAAAAGGAAAAATTAATGACAAGTCAACAAGAAATTAATAATTTACGTTTACAATTATCAGAAACACAGCAAGAAATTGAAATATCAAAAAGTCGAGAAGCTGAATTGTTAGAATTTACACAAAATCTAACAGAAAAAAATGTCAATTTGCAATCTGATTTTGCTGTCATCAAAGCAAAAGCTGATAAGCTTGAAACAGATTTCAGTTCTTGTTCGGTAAGTAAGAAAATTAAAAATTATTTTGATAAAAATTAATGATAAGAGAATTTTTTAAATAGGATCAAGTAGAGCAATACAGGGAAGAAAATTTGCAATTAAAAGAAGAATTAGAAAGAGAAAAATCAGAAAGAAATTTAGAAAAGGTTAAACTTTCAAAACGTTTAGATGAAGAAATTAAAAAATCCGAAGGGCTTGCACAAGAAGTAGCCGATCAACAGGGAGAAAATCATTTATTGAAAAAAAAACATTTGATTTCTCTCAAGGTATTGATTTTTCATTTGATTTGTTTTTTGGGGGGGGGAAGGCCATCGACAGGTGGTTTAATTTAAAAATCGTTTTCATTTTCAGGAACTTACAAGAGAATTACAAGTTTGTAGAAAAAAATTAGAAACTTACGAAAATTCTCAAACAAATCCTGGATTCGTGGACGAGTCGAGAACGAGTTCGAATACGTCGTTGAACATTGTCGAAAATGTCGATAATAAAATTTCATCTAGTCATTCATCTGTTGCACCCTCGCCATCTCTTCCTGCCGAATTTGATAAACAATTATTAATTGATAAAATAGTTAAGGTTGTCATTAGAAATTGTTTAAAAAAAAATTTTTTTAATTATTCTCTCAGCCATTGTTGACAACGTTTTTCTAAAAAAAAAAATTCCAGATACAAAAATCGAATGCTAAAAAATCAGAAAAAATTGAATTTTTAGAAGAGCACGTCAAACAATTAGTTTCCGAATTACAAAATAAAAGTAGAATAATACAAAATTACGTTATAAGAGAACAATCTGGAACTTTGTCATCTGAAACAATGGATCAAAACAAGGTTTGTGATTATTATTATTATAAATTTTCTTTAAAAAAAAAAAAAAAGTTTTGTCTCATTGATTTAAAACGTCTTTAAAAAAAAAACAATTTTTTTTTAAAAGTTTTTCGATTGGAATTTCAAACGGAAATCAAAATCTGGAAAAAACGGTAACCTGTAAATCAATACAATACATTAGTAATAATAATAATAATAATGATTAATTTTTTAAAATTGAAAAATGAATACGATGTGACGTAAGGGTTTGATTTCAGGTGGCATTATCTAAACACGGTGGAATAATGGCATCCGTTTACAATTCGAAACCCGTAGACGATGGAATGACTCTAGAACTTTCGTTAGAAATAAATAAAAAATTACAAGCCGTTTTAGAAGATACCCTTTTGAAAAATATAACGCTTAAAGTAATTAATATATTTACATGTTTGAGAGTCCATTAAGGGGAGTCCCCTTCCCTTAAATTTGAAAAAAAATTCTGATGGTTTTTGTTTTTTGCCAACAGAAAAATATGGAAACTCTGGGAAACGAAATAGCGAGGCTGTCGGAATTAAATCAACCGTCAAAGGTACAAACGTAAAATTCGAATGGGGGAGGATGTCTAAGGGATGAAAATGTCGTAAATGTCAACAAAAAATAAATTGTCGTGCACAAAAAAAAGCCTTTTTACAAGAACTCATAAGAAATAAATGAAAACACGTGTAAATACAAATATTAAATGACGATAAGTTGCAGACACAAACACACATAATTTTTTAATTAAAAAAAAAAAAATTATGTTAAATAATTATTATTATTATTAACCATTATGTTACTTTATATGAAGGTTATATATTTTTAATGTAAATAATGTAAATAAGAATAAGAAAATTGTAATGGATATCACGGATTCGCGCGCCATTTTAAAAAAAAAAATACGAGATTTAATAAGTACAAAACGTTTTTTCAATTACAAATTTAAGCCAAATAAGTACCTCTCGAATGTAATTAATTTAATAATAATAATAATAATAAGGAAACAGTATAAAATTAAATTAAAATTAAAATTATTCAATCGAAGAATTTTTTACAGTGTAATGTAATTTATCATTTAAATAAATAATTTTTAAAATCCTATCCGAACGCCATATTTGTTTGTTAAAAAAAGAATTATTTTTAATTATTATTATTATTTAATAATATATAAAGAGTATTATACATATAAAGTAACATTTATATTATAATGTATAAAATAAATAAATAAATATATATGTAAATATTAATATAAAATTTTAATTTTTTTTTTTTAATGAGAGAAGAAATTTATTATTATTATCGTAGAAAATTTTATAGTTTGAAAATTAGTTTAAAAAAAAAAAGGAAGAAAAATTCATTCAATACGTGTATAGTAATAATAATAATAATAAGGGGATTTGGAATTAAAAAAAAAAAAAAAATAAAACGGCTCATATTTTAAAATTTCCAATTATAGGACTGCATCAATAGGGTTTTTACCAAGCCCAAATAACATGTCTAAAAATAAAAAAAAATTTTTTTTTTTTTTTTTCGTGTGTGTGTGTGTGTGTGTGTACACAAAAAAACAAGGAGAAAAAAAATGAAAAGAATTTTAAATAGAAAAGTTTTCTCATCGACTCAAAATATAAACGAAATGAAATCTTTGAGTCTCATTCACTTCCTTGACACCCTCGAAAAATGTCTAACCCGAAAACTTTGGCATCGAACAATTTATTCGAAATTTTTTTTTATTTTATTTGAATAATTTTATGTTGCCAAAGAGTTTTTAAAAAAATAGAAAAAAAAATTTTTTTTTTGTCTTTGTTTAATATTATAAGTTTATTTAAAAAAAAAAAAAAAAAAAGTTAAAATTTTAAAATATAGAAAAAAAATATAAAAGTTTTTGTCATATTATTAACAAATCAGAAATTAAATTTAGAAGTGAGTCAGTTAAAAAAAAAGTGTTTTATTATTATTATTATTATTATTATTATTATTATTATTTGTCGTCTACGGGATTTTTTTTTTTCCTAATAATAATTTTCTAGTGAGTAATAATTTTTTTTTTGTCGTCGTCGTTGTCGCGTTTTAAGTGAATGATAATAAATAAATAAATAAATAAAATGAGTTCGAGTTGGTTCGATTTGGACGATAGTATCGCGTCAGAATTTTTCGATAAAACCCAAATGGAATTTGCATCAGGTGAGAAAAATACAGGTACGAAAAAAATACACAAAACGATGGAAAAATGGAGCGCAACGACGGATGTTAATGAAATAATAGATTTGGCAATGGGAAAAACGGATAGAAGAGATGAAAAAAATAAATTATTAGATAGTCTATTGAAAGATAGATTGACGGGAAGGAATTTTACCGGAAGAACATCATCAACATCAACATCGACAACGCGATTTTCCGAGGAACCTCATTTCAGAATGAAAAATTTATACGTCGATGATTTTTTCTCTGATGTAAATGAAAAAGTGAGTAAATTTAAAAATAAATACGTGGATGATGACGTGAGATACGACGTGGAAAGTCAAAAAAGTAGTAAATACGGTAGGGAAAAAAACGATTCGAAATACGAGTGCAAAGAAGGTAGACACCCGGAAAAATCAGCAAGTGGAGGTTCTGCCAACAGTTACGCCTTCACCGAAGTCACCAACGATGGAAGATCTAGAAAAGATTCGATGGATAGTACCTGGAGTAGAAAATCAAATCAAGGACAAGTTAATTTTCCATCGAGTGCATCGAACGTGTCGGAAGATTGCGATACGTATTCGGCACAAACGATAGGTAGATCTATATCCAGAGATTCCGACGATTCCGTTTGTACGGAAAAATCCGTTAACAATTCAACGATATCGGAAAAATTACCTGACGGTACGGATAAAACAAAAATCGAAAGTAACGAATCGTGGTTGAAGAAATCGACGAGCGGATCGAAAATATCGGAGAAAAAATTCAACGACATGACGCTAACGGAAAAAAATGACGATGGCATATGCGAGAAATCAACGACGAGAATGTCGTATTTGGAAAAATCCGCAACGGGTTCGTCTTTGAAAGAGGAAATAACATCGGAAAAACTCACGTCGTCGAGTAGTAAGGGAAGAACGAAAACTTTGGAACAAAAAACGTCATCGGAAAAATATAAAAAATCACAGAGAACAATGCCGCCGACATCATCGTCAAGTTATAATTACGAAGATTTAAATTCTTCTTCTACCACGTACGAAAGATTTACACCTTCTTCGTCTTTTTTTTCATCTTCTAATTCTTCGTCTTCCACCACCGAAGATCGTTCGAAAACATCGAGTTTTCGACTCAAAGAACAACTTTTTACTCCGTCTCGAACTATGAAAGCCTCGGAAAAAATTTCTAAACTTATTGATGAAGCCGTTTACCAAGATGACCTCTTCAAGATACCATCTTCCCTACAAACAAACATCGATAAAGTCACAGATGATTTTTTCAACAATTCGAAAACATTTTCCAGAGATCGTGCAAGAATCAACAGGAGAAGATTAACGGACATATTAACCGGAGTAAGTATCAACTTCCACATACAATAATAATAATAATAACGAAAACCTAACAAAAAAAAAAAGAAAATCAAAACGGAAACGTTTGTTCTTTGTTTGTTTAATTTCATTTATGTTTATCAATGAGACTGATTTACATTTTTAACACGTCTAAGCGCCATTTTTTTTTTCTTTTTCAAAATTATTTATTTTTCAACGAAAGAATTTTCTTTAAAAAAAAAAAAAATGATTTCCCATTAAATTATAAACTATTAACAAATAATAATAATGATGATGATGATGATAATAATAATAGTAATAATAATAACGGGTAATTAAAATTTCAAAAAAAAAAAAAAATTAAAAAATTGATACGAATCCAATAAATTCTTTCGTTTAACAAAAAAAAAAAAAATAATAACGATGATGATGATAATAATAATAATAATTCGTAAGCTTTTCGTTAAATAATTTCCCAACACGTTTTTTATATTTTTTTTATATTTTTACATAAACAAATAAATGTTTGAATGTTTTTCTGTAAAAGTTTTATATTAAGAAACTTTTTCTTTTTTTTTTTAAACAAAATTCAAAAAAAAAAAAACAAATTTTTCTTTCTTTCTTTCTTTTTTTCTTTCTTCTTATTTCAAACATTCGTATATAGAAAACGTTTAAATAATAATAATAATAATAATAATAATAATAATAATAATAATGATAATTTATTGAAAAACGCGTTCGATCGAACGTTTAAAAAGAAAAAATTTTTTTTTGTGTCACATACCATACCCAATACACACGTGGAATGACGTAAAATTTGCCCGATTTAAATTTTATATAAATAATAATAATATAAAATAATAAATAAATAAATAAATAAAATTATCGATTTTAAAAATAAAATTTTTCTATTATTATTACGAAAAGTTTATTTTAATAATGTTCTAGAAAAAAAAAAAAAATTACGTTCCGAGTTGTACGAAACGATTGTAAATTTTTTTTTCTGTACTTATTGCAGCCAAAAAAATTATTATTATTATTATTAAGGTTATTGTAAAAATAAAAATAAAAATAAAAAAAAATCCTCCATGATGACAATCGTTAATTCAAATCGTGACTCAAATCATTATTAAACGCAAAAAATTTTTTTAAATAAATAAAATGATTTCATTTTTGTTAAATTTAAATTGTTTATTATTACCAAAGCGTAAAATAATTTTATTATAGCGTGTTATTATTATTATTATTAATAAATAAACAATAATTAACGAAATCGTAGTTTTATTATTATTATTATTATTATTATTATTGTTTATAATTTCTAAGAAATCAATTTGAAATTTGACAAAACAAAACAATAAAAAAAATTATTATTGATTTTTTTAAAAATAAAAAATGGCGTTTAAAAAAAAAAATTGTTTAAATTATTATTGTATTTGTTTTTCTTGTTCAGGTTGAAAAAGAAGAATCGTACGTCTCTTCGACGAGAATGAATGAATTAAAATTAGAAAATGATTATTTACAACAAGAAAATACAAAACTTCAATCTATAATACAAGACGTAAGTTACAAGAGATCTGAATCGATCGACCGGAAGTTCCAGACATCAAACCATTGAAACATTCGCAATTTTGTTTTTACTTAAAGGTAACGGGAGTGAATAAACGATGGCAGATATACAATAATGAAAGACATCTTTACGTTCAAAAGTTGCTAGCAACAATACAAGATTTGCAAGAGCAAATAAATTTAATAAGTGAAAAATCGGCTTTTCAGAGCAAAACCAAAGAAGAAATGAGCAGTCAACTCGACGAACTCGAAAGGGTGAAGAAAGAACACGAGGAACGTGCGAACGTTCTCCAACTTCAAATCAAATCGCACAAAGACGAACGGGACGCGGAAAGAAAGGAAAAAAGAAAAGTTTTGCAAGAAAAAGAAGATTTGGAAAATCGCGTTATGGAACTCACGAGAGACGTCAAACTATTGAAGGAAGTTCTTCAGGAGGAAAGACAACATCGTAAAAATAAAATCTGCAACGTTTGCAAAAATAATTTCGACATTTTTCAAAATTCTGATTTCTGTACGTCTTCTACCTCTTCGCCTCCATTCTCGAAAATTCAAAATTATACGATGACAAATTCAAAATTTTCCAAAACGGGACACGTACCTTACGCAACGGTAAACGTAATGATGACGTCTTTTTTCAATTTTTAAACAAAATCTACAAGTTTTAATTTTTATTCTTCTTACAGACCAACGAACAATGCTTTTATACCAAAGAAGGAATATCAGGATCGGATTGTAATTCCTACTTTGTACCCGCAAGACAAAATTTCGGTGATGCGTTTTCCAACGATAGATTTTCAAGGGTAACGAAAAATAAATCATCTTTGTCGAGTGATACGGTGGTCGTGGTAGAAGACGAAAGTGGTTTGAGATTAGCCATAACGGAACAATTTCCCTCATCGAAAGAAAACACGTTAAAATCAATTCTTAAAAAAAATGAAAAAAAAAATAAAACGTCCAAATCATTTGTTAGGCAGTTAGAGAGTGACGAAACGCAATCGGCAATGAGAAATAGAATTTTATGTTCGACAAATCCGAGCATAACATGCGAAGAATGCAGTCCGACAAATTCAAATGTTTACGACTTACCTTCCGGTTATAAAGGAGACGATATCCCTCGAATCGCTTCTTTTTCTCCCGATTCATTAAATTCTTCGAATTTCCTTTCGATAAAAAATCCATCGCAATTTTTAAAAGCCGGAAGTGAAATAAGCAGATCGAGATCCGAACCGAACACTCGTAGTAATTCGTCGGAAAATTTAAAACCTTTGCGTGAATCATCATCCTGGAACAGTGAATCTTTCGGCATGGATAACACCGTCAAAGATAGCGTCGTTTGTCCAAATTGTGATGAAGTTCTTCCATCTTCTGTCGTTTCTTAACTTTATTACAAAATAATTAAAAGTGTTCTTCTGCACTAAAAAAAAAAAAAAAACAAAAATACAATTGAGTTGAGACTGCCATTTCTTTTTTAAGTAATTTTTTTTTTAGTAGTAGTTTTGAAAAAAAATTAGTATACATTTACGTTTTTATTACGTGTAATTTTTTATTAATATTATTATTAATAATTTTAATTATTATTATTACTTTTTAAACTAATAAGTTTTCATGAGTGATTTTTATTTAAATATATAATTATTTTAATAATTGTACTCGAGTTACGTTTTTTTTTTATGAACTAACCTTTTTCCTTAAAGATATATCCGAGAGAAAAATGAATAAGGTTAATATTTATTCGATTATTTTTCTAGAAAAAACTTTTTTTTTTTTTTCCGAACTACTTCCGGTGATTCAATTTGGTTCGGTTGTAATTTTTTCATCGGCATTACTTTCTGTCAGTTCATCATCGTCTTCTTCATTTTCGCTTTCTTCGGATTCTTCTCCAAATTCATATTCTTCTAAATAATCATCATCTTCTAGTTCGTCTTCTTCCGATTCTTCTTCCATTTCGTCTTCCTCCTCGAATTCACTTTCACCATCTTTTTCAATAATTTTTGCTCGTGCAGGTTCACCGTAGAGTTCCTTTTGTATAATTTTATCTTTGTCGACCGTTGTACCTCCTGGCACGATCGGAGATGGTTTTTCTTCCTGTTTCGATTTCTGTTTACCCTTTTTATCCTTCTTTCCTTTTACTTTGGGCGGAGGAGGAGGTTCACTCGAAGGAAATATCGTCAAATATTTATTTCTCATTGATACGACGTCAACTTGTTTTACTTTCGGAATTAAAAATTGATTCATTATTTCATCAATGAGTGGTTTTGCAACTTTAGCTTTGAAAGATTTAACTTTTGCCATAAATTCTTTTTCTCCTAATGGTTCATCTCCTAAATTCCACATTAAGTGTCTAAAAAATTAATTTAAATAAATTTTTAAAAAAAAATTTTCCATCGAACAAAAAAAAATTTTTTTTTTTTTTTTTTTCAATACCCAAAATCTCTTTTTCTCTTCTTTTTCTTAGGTTTTGCAGCTTCATATTGTGCTCTCCTGAAAAGAATCATTTGAAAATCCGGATCTGGAATTACATAATTTGAATATATTCCTCCAATTTTAACATTTAAATTTCTATCTGCTGAAATTTTTATCAACATCTAAAGTAGAAAAAAATTTAAAAAAGTAAAAAAATATTTTGCCACAAAAAAAATTAGAAACAACTTCGCACAAAAACTTTATAATTAACCTCATTAAAGGATTTATTAACCCAAATTTCATCTAAATCAAGATTTTCTAATGTTTCACAGTTTTTAACACCGGTCAAAAGTATTTCTGCATCTTCTGGAGATATTGGATTTCTACTTAATATTAATTCTTTTAAACTTTGCGATAAGGATAAACCAATTTTTATTTTCACAATTGCAAGACCATCAAATCTAAAAATCATTTAAAATTATTTTCTACATTTAACAAAACAACAAAAAAATTATTATTATCAATTCACCTATTATCGCTCAAATCTAAACATTCAATCGTTGAATTTCTTTTTAAAAAACTTCCGATTTGAGTACCAACATCTTCACCATTTAAACCGTTCCAGGCGAAATTTAATTTTTTTATCGATTTATTTTCCACCATGGCTTTGAAAAATTGTTTCACGGCTATAACCGGCGAATGAAAATAATGAAAAATTTTTTTTGTAGCAGCGGAGGGGGGAACTCGACAAACTACAAAACTCACCAGAAGGTTCGAAAATATTATTATAACAAAGATTTAAATCGATGAGTGCATCGTTTACTTTCAAAGCCAACGATAAATCAATGGCTGCTTGTTCACTCAAATTATTATAAGACAAATCTAAATATTCTATAGAATTATTACGTATTAAAACTTCGGCAAGTAATTTCGCACCGTAATCTTCGATGTAACATTTCGATAAATTTAAATATACCAACAAATAATTATAAGGTAAAAAATCCATTAAAGGTTTTAAACCTTCGCTGCTGATTCTAAATAAAAAAAATTATTATTACTATAATAAACTTAAAGGATATTTATTATTATTATTAATAATTATTCGAAAAAAACTAATGTAAAATAAAAAATAATCTAAAGGTAGTAGTAGACAATATATAAGTGATACTGCTCCACCAACCTACATCCAGCAAGATCTAGGTAACTAATTGTTTCATTGATACCCAAAACACGTCCTAAATAAAAACAATCGGCTTTAGTTAATTCATTACACTTCATTTCAATTTTTTCCACACTCGTGTTAACTTCCAAGGCCAAACACATGCTTTTCATACTTTTACTGTCCATGCCACGATACTATAACAACAACAACAACAACAAAATAAAACATTATATTAAATTTATATAGAATAATCGAGAGAGAGAGAGGCATTGATTAAAATGAAATTATCATTAATTATTATAAGGATTTCATTTAAATTAAAACCTGAGAAAAAAAATGTAATAATAATAAAGAAAGTGGATCTTACGCTTAAATCTATTGCCTTTGTACTGAGTTCCTTAAGGAGTTTAACAATGGGAGCAACATATAATAGTCTACAAACTTGTAAATATCGTTTTATCGATTTGTTTGTTTTATCAACGGGAAAAGGAACTGGAAAAAAATAACAAATATGTATGCATATAACGTTTTTTCCACAAACAAACAAACAAACTCACAAATAGTATTTCTGAGTCAAAAAACTTATTATGTTTAGTAATTTAAAATTAAAATTATTATTTAAATATATTCAAAAACGATTATTGTTTAAATGTCAAAAAGAGGAAGAAGAAGAAAAGAAAAAGAGGTATACTAACAAAAATCGTCCTTAGGTGCTTTTTTAATTATTTTCACATCGCATAATTCTTCAAATTCATAAGTTTCATCATTCCATTGAAAAGTAATCGGTTCTAAAATTGTTGAATCAGTTGAAAGAACATTCGAGGGTCTATCTTCATCTTCATCATCCTCCATTTCCATTTCGCCAAATTCTTCTTCATCTTCGTCAACGCATTCGTCGTCGTCGTCGAAACAAAAAACTTCGACGACTTCTTTTTTTTTCCTTTTATAACATTTCCTAGGTTTCTTTTTAATTTTCGTCTCTTCCTCTTCTTCATCATCTTCATCTTCATCTTCGAAAAGATTTCCTTCTCCTCCGTCAAAATAATTATCATAGTATTCTCCATCGAATTCACCGTAATAATCATAATAATCATCTTCACCCTCTTCTCCATCTTCTTCTTCATCTTCTTCTTCTTCTTCTACGTCTGATGAAATATTACTATCTGTTTCATCGTATTCACGTTTGTCATTTTTTTTGATTTTCGTCTTTTTAAAGCCAACGCTAAATAAAAAATTTTCTTTTTAAAATAAATTATTTTATTATTATTATTATTATTATTAAATCAATTATAAATAACAAACCTCGATTTTTCCATAATTTTTACAAAAAATTTGATTTATTATTCTCTCTCTCTCTCTTTCTCTCTTTACTTCATAGTTTTTCTCGTGTTAAAAATTTTCAACAATTTAATTTTTTTCATGTTTTCTTTTTTTTTTGTTAGACAACAAAAATTAACACTAAAAAATCCGAAATATGTACCTGAAAAAAAATTTTTAAGAGGAAGAGAAGAAGAAAAAAAAAAAGTGTGAAATTTAAAAAACACAAAATTCATTAGAACTTTTAAAAAAAAATCGTTAATTAGGGTTAATTGATGTTTTTTTTTTTTTTAAATTTTTTTTGGCGCCATATTTAAATTGAATACAATTTCCTACTACTATCGTCAAATTTTAGAACTAATAATAATAATAATAATTATTATATGATTGCAAGGTAAACACAAACTTTAACTATTCGGATAAGATAAATATTGTTTTATTTTATGAATAAAAGGAGGATTTTTTTTTTAAAAAAAAATATTCATGTATGAAAAAATTAACAGTTTGTATTGTGTGCACACAATAAAACGGTGAATTGTAAATTTTTTTATAAAAAAAAAAATAAAAAAATTTTTTTTTTTTTCAAATATGGATGAAAATATAAGTGTCAAGTGTTACGGTATAAAAATTTTTGAATTTTTTAAAAAATGGTGTGCTTACATAATATTTCAATATGAATTAATAACGTGTGTTTGTATGTTTGAACCATGGGAAAGACATTTTATTAGTATCCTTTTTCAACATTTTTTGTATTTTTTTTTTTTTTTTTCAGGTGAAATTAACATTAAAAACCAAAAAAAAAAAAAAAATTCTTTTTAACTGTATACATACTAAAATTTCTGCTTGATAAAATTTTTAAAAACTTTTGATATTATTATTATTTTTAACTCAAATTATACCTTTTCATTATTAACTAATTAATTAAATTCAAACTTATAAATATGTTTCTAGTTTACAAAATATTATTATTATTATTAGGATAAAATCTTTGTCATTACATAAAAATTTCAAATAGTTAATGTTTAGTAAAAAAAAAAAAAAAATTATACAAATATAATTTGGCAGGAAGTTATGTATACATAAGATAAAAAAAAAACTAAAAAGTTATGTACATATATATTTTTTTAAATCACTCATGGAATAAATATTAAATTAATGGGTGTTAATTTATTTATTCTCTTTTTTTTTTTGCTATTGTTTTTTTTTAACTATGCTAGTATCTGTTTTCATTTAAATCTAAGCATTTTTCACCATTAACTAACTATATACATGACATAATTTTTTTTTTTTGTTTTGTTTTAAAAATTAAAAATTTTTTATTAATTTATTTTAAAATTCAATGTGATTTCTACCAGTGCAAAAAAAAAAAAAAAAAAATTTTCCTTGACTTATTAATTAATCAGATGGCCTGGTTTTTACATTATTTAGCATCCTCCTTTATTTTTTCCTAGTTTTATTACCTAAATGTATCATATTTTTCATTAATTTTTGTGGTCCATATACAGAAACTATTGAATCACCTGATTGATATTGTGAAAAATGTTTTTTTTTAATTCCTTACTTCCAAAAAAAAGACCAAATGAGTTATACATATTGAAATAACAGTTTTAAATAACAATGTTTGAAGTGTAAAAATTATGTACATGTTATTTTTTTACATAAAAATTTTTTAATTCAGTTTATTATAAATAATAGTAACTCATGCTTTATTAAAATTTTAAGACAAAACATTTTTACTGTGTTAATATTTACAATTGTACATATATATTTTTTTTTAATTTAAAAATGTATTAATAACCACATGTGTGAATATTTTATGTATAATAATATGTATTTGTCTTGTTGTTTTTATTTAAGATTATTATTAAGTATTTTAATAAGTATTTAATAAAAACAAATTGTATCAGTTATTTAATTTGGGAGGTGATATAACATCAATGTTTAAAAAAAAAGTAAATGTTTATATACAAACAGTGTTTATTAATGTGTTTTTTTTTTAAATACTAAGTAAATAAGATTTTATTAATTATTTTTGTTGTTATTGCCTGATATTTATTGTTTTATATTCTAAGAATAAAATTATTGTTAATTAAACTCTTTGTCAAATGAAATTTTTGTGTGAATATGTTTTCCCATATAAATGACATTTTATTCATATTTACCAAAAGACTATATAAAAATAATATTATTACATTAAAAATTGTTAATTGATTTTATATGTTATGAGTTTTTACCATTTTGTTATTGACATTTTATAAATATTTAATAGTTTTTGTAATAAAGCAATGAAAATGTATTTTGTTAAACATATTAAATAAGTTGTTTTCATTAAAATTATGTAATACTATAATATAAAACTATAAACTTACCTCTGATAAATCCAATGTAATTCTTTTAACATCAAAACGTTTTTACAAAAAATTTTTATTAAATAAATAATAGATTATTTGAATTTTTATACAAAAATTATTACATATTGACACTAATCTTATGTCGGTATTTTCAAAATAGTGGAACCATTGTAAAAATGGCGCTTTGTAGTTTACGTATTTCCGGTATCGACATAATTTTTGTAGGAATCCAAGGTGGTTTAAAACGTTTAAAAATAATCAAATAATAAATAAATGAATGTTTTTAATAAATAATTTTTTTTATTTTTATTAAATAAAACTTTAATTCTTTTAATTAATTCACAAATATTTAAAAATACCTTTTTTAAATAATAACTATTGTATTGGCGGGAGAAACAATGTGGCAACGTTGCAAAGCACCATTTTTAGACTCGCCAATAGAACGAAAGCATTTTTTAACGGAAAAAAATGGAAGAGGATTACACTAACGAAAATTTGGTGAGTTATATAAATCTTATTTTTTTTCTTTCAACTAATATGTTTTTTTATATTCTAATAATAATTTTTAAAAATGCTTATTCACACATATATTTACATAGTTTTTAATCTTAAATCGCCTAAATTTTATTGAGATAAAATACTTTTCACATACATGGTATGTTATTTATATAAGAATAGCAGGTTTATGCAGAGCAATAAAATTTTAATTATTGTTTTAAATTACTAATTGAATTCAATTTCCATTTTGTAGAGATTTTTATTATTGAATACTTTAATTGAATAATTGTCGATAAAAAATAAATTTTTTATATGTAATTAATAACTTATAGGTTCGTTCACCAATGGTGTTTCATGTCTTTGAAGCCAATAAGTTTTCTAAAATAAATAATCAGCTAAGTATTCCAGATACAATACCGGAACAATCTGGAGAATTAAGTTTAAGTAGTTCAAAATTGAATGATATTAAAAATGGTAATTAAAAATTTCTTTCGATTTTATTTCAAGAATTTTTAAAAGTATTCCTGTGAATCTAATTGTTATCGATTTGATTATTTTAATTTTAGATTCTGATTCATGCAAAAAAAGTGATGGCAATAACAGTGTAGAAGATATTGAAACCAATAAGAGTAATGAATCCCTAAATGCTAGGTAGGCCTCATAATATTAATTAGTCATTTATTAACCTTTTTATTCATCTAATGATTTTGTTTGTTTTCCAGTACCATTATTCCTCTTGAAAGTTCATTTTTGCAAGATTGCGAACATAGGCTTTTAGATTTAAGTTGTAGCGATGAAGAAAAAAGTTTTAAAATAATGAATAATAGTTTAGAAAATAGTGTGTTAAAAGTCATTTCAAGGTAATTCTCGTTTAATATTATGAGTGTTTGTTATTTTTATCTTAGTATTTTTTATTTCCATATCTAACCCATTATTAAAATTTTCCAGTAAATTAGGTTTAAATAATGTTACAATATCTACTCCTCCGAGTGAATTAAGGAAACAAATAAGTATACTGAGAGATGAAATGGCAGAAAGTCATGAATTTCACGATTTGGAAATGAAAATATTAGAAGAAAAAGATTCTGAAAATTATGTTCAATTAATTGAAAAATATTCTGCATTATTAGACCTTTATACATCGTTGAAGAAAGAGTATGAAGATTATAGAAGCGAGCAAGAAAAAGTAAGAGATGAACTCCAAGATAAAACAGCAAATTGCCTACAGAATTTATGTTCTCAGATTGAAGCATCGGACAGTAGTTTCACATTTAATGACATCAGTTTTACTTCCCTAAACAATGATGTTAAAAGCTCTACAATTTTAGAAAACATAAGTGAAAATGAAATATCAGTTGCCAACAGTACCTTGCTAACGACTAACGATCCATTGGCTATAAGTAAAATTGATGTTTTTAAAACTCCTTTAACAACGCCGAAAAGAAGCGTAAAAAAAAAATTACTTCAAAGTTTAAGTTCCGTAAAATTAAAATCATTAACGAAGGATAACATTAGCTTTAATATGAGCAAAGGGGATGACTTGGCATATTTTAATGTTGAACAAAATAACAAAATTACCAACTTGCAAACCATGCTTCAAGCGAGAATTCTTCAAGTCGAAGAATTGGAAAAACGTCTTTTTAAAGTTGAAGATTTATTGCCTCAATTAGAAAGTCAAAGTGACAAAATTATTTCAGATTTAAAAGATGAGAATTTACAGTTGAAAAATGATTTATCGAAAAAATCCGATCAATTAAATGATTTAACTCAAAAATTAATCACCGAGATCATCGACTTGAATCCGTCTCTCAAAGATTCACTCAATGATTATTCCGCCACGAAAATTTTATTTCTTTTCATCGAAACGATAATGGACAGTTGTAAAAATGTTCAAGGTGAAACTCTTGAAAAATGGGAAACGGAAAAATCCGAATGGAAAAAACAAAAAAAAGCCGATACTGATTTAATTGAAAATTTACAAAATCAGTCGAAAATATTGAAAAACGAAATGGCGGGTTATGAAATGGAATTGCAAAGTTGTAAAGAAGAATACGACAATCTTAAACTCAAATACAGCGAAGCCGAAACAATTATTAAAAAACAAGATGAAGAAATAAAATCACTTAAATTTTACGAATCCGACAACAGCAAAGTTCATGAAAATTTATTAAAATCTGAGGAAACAATAGCGAAACTTCAGTCAGATTTATCAGTGTTGGAAAATGAAAAAACAAATATTTTTAATAAATATCAAGAATTAGAAAGTAAATTAATTTCAATGGAATCGGAAATCAAAACAAAAGTTGATGAATTAGTAAACATTAATAACTTGTACAATGATTCCAAGTTGAAAAACGAGAGTTTTGCACAACAGTTAAAAGTGTCAGAAGAATCCACGTTAAAATTACAAAACGATTTAGATTTGATCCGAAAAGAATTGAACTGCAACGACAATAAATTTTCAGAAGAAATAACACATTTCAAAAAAGAAAACAAAGATTTGAAAAATATATTTACCGCTTTGATGGATAATAAAATAACACTTTCCGAATTCATAGCAAACAATACGGATCTCAGTGACATGGGAAATTCGGATTCCACTCAGTTTTTCGAACAATTGAAACCGATATTTAGGGATTGCTTGGAAAATGAAAGCGAGAGATTTTTGCTAATAATTATCGAAACCATATTTAGCTGTTGTAAATTCATGCAGCAAAAAATTGCTCAAGACTCCGACAGTGAAAAAAACGATTCTAAAAGTAGTGAAAATTCAAATTGCATTTTATTCAATGCGACAGAAAATCACGTCAACTTTTTGAAAAACGAAATGGATAATTGCGAAAGAGATTTGAGACATTATAAAAATTTACACGATATGTTAAAAATTGAACTTTTCGATTTCTATTCGGCAATCACTCGACAAATCGAAGAAATCGAATCTCGCCAATCGGAGACTTTTTGTAAAACTCAGCAAATAACGAGAGAATTGCAAATGAAATTATTGATTTTCGCAAAAGAAAGAATCGATTTGGAAAATAAATATAATGAATTGGAAAACAAAATGAAGGAAAAAGAAGGAGAGCTCGAGACAAATACTAATTTACTTGGCGAATTGAAAATCGAAAACGAAGAACTTAAACAATCGCTAGAAAAATTTAAAGAATCGGTAACTCTTCGGGAAATCGAATTAGATAAAATTACAAATGAATTAAATTGCACACAAAATAAATTATCGGAAGAAATTAATAGTCTGAAAAAAGAAAACGAAGAGTTTAGGAGTTTATATGCCGCATTAATTAACAAAAAAGAAATTATTACGGAATTTTTTGGTGAAAAATACAATTACGACCAAGTCTTTTCCGAATCTTTATCAGAAAGATTGAAACCATTGTCGAGCAGTTTAATTTCAGAAAAGGAAAATGAAAAATTATGCTTGGGAGTTACGGAAACTATTTTAAGCTGCTGCGAATTCATACGTGGAAAACTAAAGGAAATCAATAAAAAAGACGAGGAAAATTTACATAAGGAAAAAGCGTTGGTCGATGACTTGAACGAAAAATTAAAAGCGGAAATAGAAACTTGCAAGGAAGAATTGAGCGCCTGCAATGTCGAATTAAACGAATACAAAGAAAATTACGAATCAATGAAAATGAAATATTCCGATGTGGAAAGTGAAATCGTTGGATGTCGCGTTAATTTATCATCCGCCGAAGAAAAAATTACCGAACTGGAAAATGAGATATTGAACTTGAAGAATGTTAAAATCGAATTGGAAAACAAATGCACACAATTAGAAGATAAATTATCAATTTTACAATCGGAGCTAAATGATAAAGAAAGTAACGTGCAAAATGCAAACACGCTAGGCGTAGAGTTAAAAATGGAAAATGAAAGACTTTCTAAATTGGTTGAAAAATCAGAAGAAACGATATCGCGACTCCGAGAAGAATTGGAAACAATCAAATCCGAAGCGAAAAACAACGACAATAGATTATCAGATGACATCGGAAATTTGAGAAAAGAAAATCAAGATCTGAAAAATATTTTCACTGTTCTGCGAGATTGTAAAACTAAAATTTCCAACGCGTGCAACGAAATATTTAATTTATCTACCGCAGAAAAAATCAACAGAGATGAATTCATCGAAACGTCTCGAACAATATTCGAAGAGATTTCATCGGAAAATAAAAACAAAGACTCATTTTTGGAAATCATTGACGTTGTTTTCGACTCCTGCGAATCGATTCACAAAAATGTCACCGACCATTTAAAGAAAGAATTTGATAATTTTGAAAATCAAAAAGCATCGTATATCGATTCCGTGAAGGATTTACAAAGTCAAGTGGAAAATTTGAAAAACGATTTGGGAAATTGCGAATCGGAATTGGAAAAATGCAAAGAACAGAACGAAACATTAAAACAAAACGGATTTGAATTCGAATCGACGATTTCTAAACTGGAGAAAGAAATCGAATCTCTTAAAGTTCACGAGTCCGACAAGAGGAAAATCCAGGAAAATCTCAATCAGGCACAAGAATCGATAGCGAACCTCGAGTCTGAATTATCGGCAAAGGAAAGCGAAAAAATCGACATGGTTGATAAAATTAAAGAATTGAACGAAAAAATAAATGAATTGGAATCCGAAATAAAAATGAAAGAATCCGAAGTCGAAAAGTGGATTAAAATTCACGACGAGTTAAAAGTCCAGAACGAAAAATTGTCGAAAACTTTAGAAAATTCCGAAAAGTTCATCATCGAATTAGAAAAAGAATTGAAAGCGTCCAAAGATGAATTAACGTGGAACGATAACAAATCGTACGAAGAAATAACATTGCTCAAAAACGAAATCGAAAAAATGAAAAACACCATTTCCTCTTTGATTCGGTGGAAAACGTCCGTGGCAGAAATGGTGGCCGAATTGTCGGATATCCGCGATGTCGATTTTTCGACGTATCACGAAAAAATTAAATCGATACCTATTGAATTTTCCGAAAAAGAATTAAACGCTGAAGTTTTATCCGATTGCGTTCAAATAATTTTCAATTGTTGCGAATCTCTCAAGCTCAAACTATCTGCAGATAATGATACCCGGAGGGAAAACTACGAATCGCAGAAAAAAATCGACGACGATCTGATACAAAACTTACGAGACGAAGCGAAAAGTCTGAAAGACGAAATTAAAAATTTAGAAATAGAATTGAAACGTTGCAGCGAAGTACAAAATGATTTTCAGGTAAAATTTTCAAACGCGGAAAAAATCATTTCGAATCAGGAGGAAGAAATCAGGCTCCTTCAATTGCAAAATTCTGAACTTTCGAAAATTCGACAAGATTTGTCATCGTCCGAAAGGATCATTTCGAACTTGAAATCAGAGATGGAAGCTCTCGCGAACGAAAAAAAAGAAATCGAAAATAAGTATAACGAATCCATCCGGAAAAACGAAACGATGGCATCCGAAATCGAAAAGAAAGAAATCGAATTGAAAAATGTTAATTCATTTTACGACGAATTGAAATTGGGAAACGAAGAATTGACGAAATTGCTCAGGGATTCGGAAGGGTCCATGTCGCATCTGGAAGAACAATTGGAAATCGTTAAAAAAGAATTGTCTTCGAGCGGTGATAAATTTTCCGAAGAAATAACTCATCTCAAGAAGGAAAATTCACGTCTCAAACACGTATTCACTGTCATAGTCGATAAGAGGACGTCTCTCTCTGAATTGTTCTCGAAAGTTTTCAACATGAACGACTTGAACGATTTCGAATCGATCAAAATTTCCGACAGAATTCGTCCGATATTTAAAAATTCACTCGAAGATGCGGAAAGTGAAAAATATTTGTTAAACGTCGCGGAAACCATATTCACGTGTTGCGAATACCTCGAACGGAAAATAAGAAAAGAAAAAGAAATGGACAGGGAAATTTTCACGAAGGAAAAAAATACGTACGAAAATCTCGTGAAAGATTTGAACGTGAGATTGGAATCCGTGAATGGCGAAGTGGAAGAATCCAAAATTAAATTGAGAGAAATGGAATCGCACAAGACAAAGTGCACGGAATTGTTTGAGAAAATAAACGAAAATGAAAACGTCATTTCCCGGCAAAAGGAATTGCTGGAAAGGAAAGCGGATGATTTCGAAGAGCTCGCGAAGAAGGTGAAAATTTTAGAAGAAAATAAAAAAAATCTAACGGATATTATATTGGACGTGCAATCTTGTTTGGACATGTCCGACGACACGATCACGAAATTGACGTCTGGAAATTTCGAAAACCGGAAAATATTGAGCGAGAGCATAAACGTACACATAAAACTACAAATGGAAAATTTGAGAATCGAAAATTCAAATTTGAAAATGGGAAGCGATAACTTGAAGGAAAAAGTCAAAGAACTGAGCAAAATGATCACGGACATGTCGAATCGTCAACTTCGGGATGAGATGTCATCGTCGTCGTTGTCGACATTAAACCATTCGCTGTCGAATTCGAGAGTGTTGAGGAGCAGCAGCGGTTCGGGACGGAGCGAATTGTGTGCGAGAAGATTGGACAAATTGGAAGAAACGAATCAAAATTTAACGGAGCTCATAACGCGAATACTAACGCTCACGGATTTTCCAAACGTGGAAAAACTCAAATTCATGTCGGTGAGAGAATTTCCGAGCACGAGTAAAAAAATAATCGGACACATCGACGGACTCCTCGCGGAAATGAAAGAATTGAAAGAAACGAATGCCACTCTCGACGAAGAGTGCGAATCATACGCGGAAACGATCAAAGAAATGAAAAAGGAAGAGGTGAACGTTTGGAAAAGCAACATGGAGAAATTGGAAAAACTCGAAAGTGAAAAAACGTGTTTGAATAAAGAAAAAACGGAATTGGAAAAGGAAAGGAAAAATCTACTGGAGAAAATAACGAAGCTGGAAAACGAGTGTCAAAAACTGAGGGCAAAGACCACGTCCGATGGTGAGTCCCCCCCCCCCTATTGTTTACCCGCTACAATGTTACACTCGTACCAACTTAAATAAAATTTTTTTTTTCTTTTCCAGACGTCAATGCTTTTTCTTGCGCATGCGGTAAAGAATCGAAAAAAATTCACGATTTGAAAAGAATGATATTGATAAAAGAGCAAAAAATATTAGAGCTCCAAGATTTGGAAAGTCAAAATGCAGTTTACAATTCTCAAATTAAATATCTCGAACACGCTTTACAACAGGAAAAGAAAAAGGTGAGGCAACAGAAATGAAAACAAACAAACAAACAAAAGGAAAGATGCATAATAATTTTTTTTTGTTTGTTAATTTCAGGTCAAATTGGAAAAAGACAAAAGCGACAAACTTAGAAAAGAATTGGATGAGATGTCGTCTTCGGGAGGCGGAAATAATCAAAAGAAAAGCTCGTCGGACGACAATGAAATGTTGAACGAATTGAGAATGTGCGGATCCGTGAGCGGAGGTGGAGGAGGAGGAGGAGTCGTACAAGAATTTTTCGACAGGGAAAAAATGAGAAAACTATCCAAAGACATTGGAATACTCAAAGAATTGTGCAGAGCGAGATACGCCGAGATAAAACGTTTGGAAGCGGAAAATGCATCTCTCAAAGCATTAAAGTCAAAGTAAAAAAAACAAACAAACAAACAAACAAAACAAACGAAATGACACGTTGCACGATTTTCGATTATATACGCGCGCGTAGTTTTCCTATCTAGTCTCTCCTTATTTATTATTATTATTATTATTATTTTAAATTTATTTATTTATTTGTTTGCTTGTAATTATCGTTAAAGGTTAAACGTAACATTAAATTCTTTTGCTTTGCTTTACTAACTAAGATAATGATGATAACAATAGTCGCGAGTAGAAAAAAATATCGAGCATGTATCTATTTATCAATTTTGGAAGAAGAATTCAACGAAGAACAAACAAACAAACAACGGATTTTTAATTGTTTGTTCGTACCTTGTGAACGACCGACATATTCCGATGCATGATTTTTTTTTTTTTTTATTATTATTTAATTTGGAAAATTTCAATTGCATGATGCACGACGTGTCGGAAAAAGAATGAGTGCGTGCGTGTGCGTGTGCGTGCATGTTATGGGTAAATAAGAAATTCGATTATGGGGGTAAGGGAAATGGAAATAAACGTAAAAAATAAGAAAATTATTATTACTATTAATGTTTGTTTGTTTGTTTGTTTTGATTTTGCAGGAATTCAAATCAAATGGATTCGCCACTTCGGGTAAAATCGTACAATACGAGATCGAGGACGATGTCGATGTCGTCGACGACGACGACGACGACGACGACGATGACGAAGATGATCGAAACGATTGGAAAAGAAAACCGAGCGTAGCCGAATATAAAACAACATTTAATTATGGGTTAGGGTATATATCGCAATGTAAAATTTTACATCTATTGATGTACGCGGGAACAAATTGATTTTTAAAAGTTTTTTTTTTTTTTTAATTATTATTATTATTATTATTATTATTTTTAAATGTAAAAACGTCGCCATTGATTTAATTTAATTTAATTTTTTTTTAATGTATAAAAATAAAATATGAAAAAAGAATCCGTTTACTTATTTATTTATTTCTAATCCTTTCAAATGAGAATATAATTTAAATTGATACGAAAAGGTGAGAGTTGGTTTTGGCTTTAAAAATGAGTTAAAATTAAAACGATTTTAAATTTAAAAATAATATTGAAAAGTAATTAATTATTTATATAGAGCGTAAGATGAAAGAAGAACGGTTGATAGATGGAGTTAGAATGGACGACCGTTAAATTCAAAATCCGCGTTTTTCAACCAATCAAATTGTTTTTAGAGGTTAAAACTGATTTCCTATTATATAAGTCGTTAAAAAATTGCACAAATATATATAAAAATAAATTAATTTTTTTATTAATTTAATTAAAATGGTGAGTCGTGAGTGATATTTTATTATCATTTATCGTATTTATTATAAAAAGTATTGGAAAAATGTTTAATTCTTATTAAATACACGTATCGTAATAATAAATCACAAGTGAAATTTTTTAATGATTATTTAAAATTGAATTAAAAAAAAAAAAAAAATAAAATATTTAATTAAGAGGATAAATAATTCGTAAAATTATATATTTATCATTAATTGATAATTTTTTTTTTATTTTATCATACGCGAATTAAATTAATAAATTTTCTAACGAGGTTAGGTTAGAATTCAAATGGAATCCATGACATTAATTTCCTTTTTAATTTAGTTTCAGTTAAACGATTTTAAAGATATATCAAAAGGAGAACGTTTGGAAAATATCGATAATTGTAAAAATTTACCCGAAGCAGTTTTTAGAGAAATAATTGATGTCAACGACAGAGTGGATGGAATGAATTTAAAGGAAGTTATGGATAAATTAAAATCATTTCATGTCAATTCGAATGGGAGTGAAGATGAACTTAAAGAAAGACTTAAAAAAAGTTATGAAAAAGTTATTTTAGCATCTGGAAAAGATATGTCTGTATCAAATATGATTTTTCCTTATTATGTAGTTATCGATTTTGAAGCGACTTGTGATAATAAAAAAATTGATAGGTAATTATGTTAATACAAAAAGATGATAATATTTCATTCGAGATTCATGATTCTTTGATCTTGTTAAAATACATATTACTTAATTAAATAGATAAAGCTTGTAACAATAATTACACTTTTGTGTTTTATTTCAGGCAAGAAATAATAGAATTTCCAGCAGTTTTGGTTAATAGTAAAAAACAAAAAATCGAAGATTGTTTTCGAATGTATTGCAAACCTAGAATAAATCCCAAATTATCTCAATATTGTATGGAACTCACTGGAATCACACAAGAACAAGTAGATAATGCAGAAACATTCGATAAAGTTTTATCACATTATAATAACTGGTTGAAAAAACATAATTTAGGTACGAAAAACAAAAGGTATGCAGTTGTCACAGATGGTAATTGGGACATGAGCAAGTTTTTAGTAAGCCAATGTCATTATTCGAATGTACCAATACCAAAATGGGGTAAAACATGGGTTAATTTAAAAAAAACATTTAAAAACTTTTATCAAAAAGGAGAGAATAGGATTTGTTTGAAAACAATGTTGGAAATGTTAAACATGGAGTTTATCGGGAGGCCACATTGCGGTTTGGACGATGCCAAAAACATTGCAAGGATTTTATTGAAAATGATTTACGATGGTTCCAACATACAAATAAACGAAAGATTGGCATCCGTTAGAAGAGTTAACATTAATAAAAATATTAATGATGATGATACGGAGGATTCTCGAACGACATTAAACGACGGTGATAAATCAAATATGGAGGACATGGATGAAGAACAAATTCCTAAATTCAAAGTAAGTAAAAAAAAATAAAATAATAGTAATAACACTTACCCTAATTGTAACAAGCAAAATATTTAACCTTTGCCCTCTTTTTCAGGTCAAAACCTACGTTCAATCAATTAATTCAACCGGAAAAACATACAATAGAATCCGTAGACAACGTTTAACTGCACAAACTCATCTAGCGCGTGAAATGTTTAAAAAATCAAATGACGTCATCAATTTAACAATAAATTAATTACAATCATGTTGGACAATTATGTATCGTTTAATAATAATAATAATAATATAATTATTTACACTTGTAAAAAAATTTTTTTGTTTTTAATTTTGAAATTCGTACATTCATGTGTTGTGTGTGTATATATATTAAGATGATGTTGATAATAATAATAATAAAATTTCATTACAGAAACGGTTGGAGAAAAGAAAGAAAAAGTGATTGGGGGGAGGGGGTGAGAAAATTATTTTTAAGGCATTATTTTTTGTAGGGCTTCGATCATGTTACCAATTCCTTCGAATATTTGATAAAATGTACCCTCGTACATGAAAGCAGGGGTGGTGAAAACGAGAAATTGTTTGTCGAATGTGAAAGAATCGACATTTTTAACTTCGACGACAGCACCCATATCCGACACGGTATCTATGGCCTCACTGTGCGGCCATTTTTTAGGATCTCCTTTTTTACCTAATGTTACTTTAACACCTGGAAATATTCTTGCAGGTAATATGGCTGCTATACACGTGAAAGCCATGGGTTTACGACACGCGCAAAATTCGTTTACAACTCTCACGACTTCTTCGTTCACCCCACAATTGGCACCATCTTTGTCAAATGTCGTACTGGAAAAAAAAATAAAAAATTTATGAGTAGTTGCGGGGGAGGGGAAAGGGAAATTATTAAAATATTTTATGTAATAATTACAGAGTTTTGGCAACTCCAAATCCTCCTGGAAATATAAGAACGTCTGCTTCGTCCGATGTCAAACTATTTATCGAACATATTTTACCACGTGCTATACGTGCGGATTCAACAAGAGCGTTACGCATTTCGTTCGTTGGACTTAACTGGAATAAAAATAAATCAATGAATTATCGATTGATCGATTGATTGATCCCTTCGATTGGTTATTAAATTACCTTGTAATGATCGATAACATCCGTTTGGGGACATGGTACTGAAAAAAATTTTGGTTGTATATCGAGTCTACTTAAATGTACGGCACATGCTGATGCTTCGTGAATTTCAGTACCGTCCATCATTCCAGATCCGGATAAAACAATGGCGGCTTTTTTTTTAATTTTTTTTTTTTTACTACCGTAATACATTTTTGACGATTCAAACATTTTCTTTCTTAAACTTAATTTATAAATACCGTTAAAAGCCCGATACATTTTTTACTATTATTATTATTATTATTATTATTATTTATTGTAAATTTAATAAAATAACGACACGAATAATTATTAATAATTATAATAAATGTAAATAAACAAATCTAAAAAAAAAAAATTTTTTTTGTACGAAAAATAAACAAATAATAATAATAAAAAAAAAAAAAACTAGCAATCTTTTGCGATGATAAACATTGTAAATAATTTATTAACCGTAGCAAAAAAAAATATATATGAATAAACGAATAGTAATCTACAGCAAAAAATTTTTTTATTTATTTTTTTTTTCGAAAAATCCGACATTTTTTTTTTTTAAATGTGAGCGAAACTCAAATCTCATCTCTTTTCCTTAACAATAATTGAAATATTTTTAAACGAAAACAAACGAACAAACGGTTGTTGATGATGCATTCAAATTTGACTCCAGTTTCAATCGAAATTTTTTCCAAAAGCCGGTAAACAATCAATCAATCAATCGATCGATCATTTTTTCACTTTTCCTTCATTCACCGATTATAAAAAATTTCAATTAAAGGTTAAAGGTCACGACGATTTTATTATCATAAATAAATAAATAAAAAACCAAAATACAAATTTTAATTTTTATTATCATTATCATTATCATAATTATTATTATTCATATAAGATTATCACGATTAAATTAAAATTTTCGATTAAAAAAAAAAATTTTAATAATAATAATAATAAAATAGCATCATCCTACTAATAATGATTACAAACAAACAAACAAACAAACGAACGATCAATCAATCAATCAATCATTTTATCTTATAATTAATTTATATTAGTAGCAGTAGCGGTAGCGGTAGCAGTAGCAGTAGCAGTAACAGTAACAGTAATAATAATAATAATAATTATTATTATTATTATTTTAATTGTTATTACGAAAAAAAAAAATTTTATTTTTATTGCACGTGATTGCGATAAACATGCGTAACGAAAAAAATCGGACAAAAAAGCAATGAAACGTTTAAAAAAAAATAAAACAAACGAACGAACAAACAAACAAACAAAAGAAACAAACGAGTCGTTTACGCGACGGGAAAATTGCACGAGACATTCGAACAAACGAGGAGTAGGTATAATGAAGAAGGGGTAGTGGTGGTGGTGGTGGTGGGAAAATGGTAGAAGCAGAAAGAAAAATTTAAACTTTGTCGCTAAAAAAAAACATTTTCACGTGTACACGCACTCACGCACTCACGCAAACTTCTAAATAGTATTAAAAAAAAAAAAAACTTAATAGATACATCGTCGACGACGACGACGACGACAATCAATTTTTCAATGGCATTCATTTATTTGTACTCGAAACTTTTTTTTTTTTTTTTTCAAAATTGGCAGCGATGACACACGGCCGCGTCATCGCCGACATTTTCTTATCATCTTCGTCTTTCTAATGCGAACGAAAAATAAATACCCAAGTCTTCCATACGACCAGTCTCATTTACAATAATAATAAAACAAACAAACAAACAAACAAAAACTGACGAGCCTTTGTAAAAAAAAAAAAAAACAAAACAAAAAAATAATGGCGGATAGAAAATAAAAATTTGAAAGTGTCAGAGAGAGAGAGAGAGAGAGACGGAGAGGGAGAGTGAGAGAGAAGAAACAGAGTCTGATCTTTTTTTACATCTTCCCTCCCCCCAAAAAAAAAAAAAAAAATCTTTAACTGAACTGGAGAACCAAACGCAAGTTTAAACGTTACAAACACAAAAATTATTATCATTTTTCGCGACAGCACCTGTCCTGTGTGTTTGTATGCGTTTGTTTGTTTGTTTCTGCCAGTGAGTTTTGTTTTTTGGAAAGAGGGACGGACACCAACCGATTCGCAACAAACGATTCTAAATAATTTAAAACTGACGCTAACAATAGTCGGCGGCTTTTCTTCTTTTCCCTCCCCTTCTCCTCTCCCCTTTTTCCCATAAAAATAATAATGATAATAATAATAATAATTTTTCATTGATTGTTTTTCGCAGGTTTAATTAGATTAAAAATTCTACATTCTCGACAATTAATCACAATGGCGGATTCATTTTTCAAAACAAACAAAATCCCGTTTGCACCCTCTCTCTCTCTCTCCCTCCCTCTCATTCATTCATTCTTTCATTCATTCACCAACACTAATCCTAATTTTTTTTTTTTTTTTTTTTTTATTTCTCTTTTGCTCCCTTTTTCAAATCCTCAATCAAACTCTTTCCGCTTTCCTTATGGTCCAATAAATCAATCAATAAAAAAAAAATTAAAACCTCCTCTCACTTATACAATTAATCGTGTGACTTTTCATAGTTTGTTAATTGACTTTTTTTTTTTTTTTTAAATTAAATATTCTACGGGATAACCTACACTAGGAGGTTTTTATAATTAGTATTATTATTATTATTATTATTATTATTATTATTATCATTACAATAAGAATTTATCCATTACCAAAATGTGGAAAACATTTAATAGTAGAGTAACAGTAGTAGTAGTAGTAGTGGTAGTAGTAATAGCAGTAGTAGCCATTTTAAATTTTATAAATAAAAAACTAACGTGTCAGTGTCGAAGGCACACCATTTTGTTTTGTTTGTTTTGTTTTGTTTTGCTTTTAACTTAAACTTTAACCTAAACTAGTGAAAATCCATTTTTCCTTTTTTTTTTTTTTTTATAATTTTTACATTACCCTAACCTAACACAAATTAAAAAATCGAATCACGAATCGAGAGGGGATTTTATCATGCAGACAAACGAACGAGCAAAAGGAGATTAGTAGAGGATACACACAATTTTTTCCTTGCGGACGGGAAAACAACCGACATCTTCGACCGACGATGAAAGCGTTCATTCATCCACCGACAAATAAAATCTCGAAGTCGAGTCCAAGACCTGTATCGATCGTCACGCAATCATCTCTCGATTCGATATCTCGAAATTCTTGGAGGTAGATCAAATCCGTTCGTCACGCTCCGATGTAAATTTTTACAGTTTTAGTCGTCCATTTAGATTTACACGTTTGGCTCGTAGACACGATGATGATGATGATGACGATGCCCGTTCGTCGTCCGACTTCAGTGAGGGGGGAGGTGCAAGGAGGAGGGGGAAAGAGAAAGGGGAGGAGACAAAAGGAGCGGGGAAAGAGGAAGGGGAGGAGTCGAAGGGAGGGGGGATTCAAAATTCTAACTTATTTTTAAAAAAATAGGAATATTAAAACCGCGAGACCTTTTCGAGTCACACACGTATTACACCTCACGCTAATTAATAATAATAATAATAATAAAAATACACACTTAGTTTATCCACTCTTTTTTTTTTTCTTTTTCGATTGTAACTCTGCGTAACTTTACGCAACTCAATTCCACGTTTTAATTAATTAATTAATACGCTACTGCGTGATGTGTGTCACGCAGATCGTGACGCGGGGGCGGAAAAATAAAAAAGAAAAAAGAGTGGAAAAATCATTAAAATCCGTTACAATCATACAAATTCGGTACAATTTTTTTTTTTTTCCCAACGAACCGAAAACAATTTCAATCGACTTTCCTTTGAAAATCTTTTAAACATGCTCCTCCCCCTACCCCTCCCCCCCGTGGGTTTAAAAGCATTTCTAAAAATGTGTCGTCGTCGTCTCTCTTCGATATTATTATTGACTTTTCAATACAATTTTCACTTTGATTTTTTTTTTTTTTTGGCATCCATGTACATAATATTTACATGACAAAAAAAAAAAAAAAATATCATCAAAGCAAACACTAAAGATAGATGATGAAAATCAATCGAATTATTGGAAATCATCATCGTCATCATCATATTTTTTTTGCGCAATCAATTTTTGTATAATTCTATAAAAAATAAAAAAATGAATGATTTCCGGTATCGTCGTTTCCGATGGTAAACGAGCACGAAATTAAATAAAAAATAATAAATTAATAAATAAATAAATAAAATCGATTTGCAAAAATTTTCTCGATTTAAAAAAAAAAATAACTGATACATAACTTTTTTTTTCTTCCTCCACGATTTTCTATTTCCACGATTTTTTCCCCTTGATTTTCATCATCATCATCATCTTATAGAAAAATACAATACAAATTTTAAATGATGATAATAATAATAATAATATTAATAATCAATCAAATACATAACTTATAAATAATTACAGATGCCAAAAAAAAAAAAAAAAAAAAAAAAAAAATCAATAATAATATTAATAATAATAATATTAAAATTTAAGAAACGCTTTTAAATCGATCAATCAAACAAAATAAAAATAATAAAAAACGATCGATAATAATAATAATAATTGTTTTCAGTTCTTACAAATCCATAAAACAAAAAAAAAAAAAATTTAATTAAAAAAAAAAAAAAAAATATACATAAATTAAATTAATTTACCAATCGATTCGGATAACTCATTCGTTCCCCTCCCCCTCCCCCCCAATTTCACTAAATAATAATAATAATAATAATAATTACAAATAAAAAATAATAATCAAAATAATAATAATAAGACAATCGATCAATTAATATTAAATTAATTAATGTAAAAATAAAAAAAAGAAAAAAAAAAAAAGCAGAAGCATTTTTGCTTCTTCGAGTATTATTTTCTCTCTCTCTCTCTCTCTCTTTCGAGAACACAACAACATCGATAACAACAACAACAACAAAAACAACAAAAAAAAAAATAGAAAGAAAAAGAGAAATTATTATTATTATTATTATTATTATTATTATTATTATTATTATTATTATTATTATGAGATTGAATTTTATTTTATCGATTAAGCGGTTAATTAATTAAAACATTAAGGCAAAAGCAATTTTTATATATATATATAAAATAATTAGAAAAAACATATATATAAATCGGCAAGCCACCATGACACGCACACACAATACATTATTATTATTATTCTTACTACTAATACTAATAAATATTTATTATTATTATTATTATTTTTTTTTTTTTTTGCATTTTTTTTTTTATTTTTTAGAATTGATTATTGATTATTGATTATTTAACCTTTATTAAATGATTCATAAATTATTTTTTTTCTTGTTGTTGTGGTCTTTCGCTTGAGAAAAACGAAAAAGAAAGAAAAAGAAACATTAATAATTATTACATACATCTAACACGAAATTATCATTATTATGATTATCATGATTATTATTATTATTTGCGTTTCGCAAAATAATAAAAAACAAAAAGAAAACTTAAAACTAATTATTGCAAAAAAAAAAAACAAAAAAAAAAACCTAGAAATAAACGACGGATATATAATTCCAAGGCTATACAATGTAATTTTCCTTTTCTTTTCTTTTCTTTTCTTTCTTTTTCTTTTTTCTATCTATCTATCTATCTCTCTTTCTCTCTCTCTTTCTATTCTAACGAATCGACAATAAGACAATATTTTTTTTTTAAGAGCCATTCATTCTTGACATAAATGATCATAATAAAAAACGAAGTAAAAAATTTTTAAACAAACCCTTCTTTTTTTTTTTTAAGTTTTTTTCTAGAAAAAATATTATCCTTATTATTATTAATTATTATTATTATTATTATTACCGAAATCAAATAATGATAATAACGAATAGAAAGAGACAAAATTGAAACCCGTGCTTAATTACAAATTAAAAAAAAAAAAAAAAAAAAACAATTTTTATCCCTTTAAACGAACAAAATTATCAACATATAATAATAATAATAATCGATTAAAAAAAAGTCAAAATAATAATAATAATGATACTAATTAATTACGAAAAAAAAAAAAAAGAAAAACTTAAACGAAAACAACGAACGACGAAACCACAAAAATAATAATAATAATAATCATAATAATAATAATATTAATTATTAAAAAAAAAAACAAATCGATTTCATTTTAAACATTGAAGTGAGAGATAAAAAAAAAAAAATATTCAAAAATTTGGCCTTCACGTTTAAAAATATTATTACACTACAACCTACAATTTATACAAAAAAAAATTTTAATTTAATTTAATTTAATATTTAAACGAGGTAGTCTTTTTTTTTTTTTAAAAAAAAAAAATGTATATATGTATAAATATAAACATATATACATATGGATTTCAACATGACAGAAAACTAAAATTTCCATTTATAATTATTATTATTAATTTTCTAGTCAAGTGTAAGAACGATTAATCTAAATAAACAAACGATTCCCATAATATTAATAATAATAATAATAAGTATAAAGAATAAAGAATAAAGAATAAAGAGAATAAAGAATAAAGAAAAAAAAAAAAAAAAATTATTTTTAACGAACCAAAATACTTAGTCGTCGTCATCGTCGTCGTCATTCCACTCATTCCGATGATGAAGGAGACGATGAAGTCGTGTAAAAATATTGTGATGCATCTCCACGACAAATGGGACAAGTTCTGTTGCCCTGAAATAATCACAACAACAACAACAAAAATTAATAAATAATTATTAATGTTTACATAAGTTGTAACTGTATTAATTATCCCTCTCTCTCTCACATTTATACAATCATCTCAGAGTGAGAGAGAGAGAGATTAATATTATTATTTGACTAAACAATAACTAATATTATTAATCAACAAAACAATTTACCTTGAGCCATTTGTCAACGCATTTTGCATGAAATTCATGTGAACAAGGTAAAACGCGAAGACTTTGCCTCGGTTCAAAATCGCACATGCATACAACGCAACACGTTTGGTCACTTTGATGATTTTCCACATTGAACCTGTTAATAATAATAATAATAATAATAATAATAATTAGGTCGTGTCGTAACGAAATACCGTACACAAATAATAATGATAGAAATTTCATCGAAGAAAAAACTTTGCATAATATAAAAAATTAAAAACGTTACATGGTATTTAAAAAAGACAGAGATAATTAACTCGAACGATATAACTAGGTCACTTTAATATAAAAAACTAACTCATCTGTCATCGAAAAGCAAAGTCAAATGACGTAATAAAAAAATAATAATAGTAATAACACATTTTAAGTAATACTCTTATGGTTATTAAAAAAAAAATGAAAAAAATTACTTGTAAGAAGGCAATTGTTCAATTTCAGCCCTAAATAGTCCTCTGGGTTTTGCATCTCCAAGTCTTTCGGCTAAATTAAGAAGTGCTTCGTAATTTTCATTTGTTTCAGTTGAGTTAGGACTACTTAATTCAGTGCTGTATGGAGAAAGAGGTGGGTTAGAAAACATCGCTCTAAAAAATAAAATAAAAAAAATGAAAATTTTTTTCCCACTTGTCACATCAAATGCGTGAAAACAATAAAACTAGAGGAAAAAAAGAAAAAAAAAATTCATTACATGAAGTGTAACAAAAATGGTGCCGAAGTCGGATGCGGATGAGGTGGATGAGGTAATGCATTAGCGCGCCAACGACGAGAATGTCTTCTCGAAGAAATGTTAGCTCTTCTAGTTCTCTGAGGTAGAACTTCTATCGAACTTCCTCTAGACTAAAAATACAAATTGAATATTTTATTAAAAATGGAAGAAAGAAAAAAACACGAAACATTATTCAAATGTAATTTTTTCTTATTACTTCTGATAAAAATATCGGAGGAGACGGAGTGTGAGGGTGTAAAGTTGTAGCTGCTCCTCCGACGACAGGATGATGAAGTGGATGATGTAAAGTAGGACTTGGTGGATGATTAACGGAATGCAATTGAGCGTGATATACGGCGTTCGAACGATGATCTGCAATGTAATCCAATTCGAGGGGATCCGCTCTCTGAAAAATTTACCATTACAATCATTACTAATTATTTAGTTAAAAAAAAAAAATATTCGACGATAAAAGCGGAAAATATTTACCGGAGTCTGAATGTGCTGATACGGCGACGATAACGTCAAAGGATTCGGTGGAGGAATATATTGAGGACCGGGAATTTTCGGATGTTCCCTGGGTTGAATATGAGAGTATTGTGGAAGAGACATGGGATTTTGTTGCGCCATATACTGATGAGAGGAGGCCACTGAAAATTGAGGAGTTGCATATATCTGGCACGCGTTCGGAAGCAAAGCGGATGTGTTTGACGAAACAGAAGAATACAACGATAACGGATGGCCTATATTAATTGGCAAAGTTACTGGGACCTTATAAATAAATAAATAAATTAATTAATTAATAATTATGTTTCTTTTTTCTATAAAATAAATTCAAGTAAGTTATTTTACCTGGTTTACATCCATGACGACCGGAGAATGAGCAAAATTATTTTGGTATCTAGTACGACGCAGCGAAGGACTGTAGCGACTTCTAGCAAAAGGAACTTGACGATTATCCCACATTGACCTTTGAGGTGGTGGAGAAGGAGGAAGTTCTAATATCGGATGATGTGGACCTCGGGATAATCTTCTCCTTTTACGAGAAGGGCTTTCGCTCTGAAAATAATAATTTGAATCACAAATTAAAATTATAAAATACCTCAAACTGAAAACATTAAGATGATAGCTACTACATGGATGATATTAGTGACTTAAATATATACACATATAAAAAAAAAAAACACTAACTTTTCTTCCATCATCAGGACAATAGCATGGGGGAGAATGTTGAAGTTGAACGGGACTTAAACGTAATTCTGTTGTGACGTTTCTTCGAGGTGAAAACTCTAGATTAAGACCAGATCTAGGCCTAACATCTAAAGGATTTGCCACCAAGCCTGTCGGGCTTTGATTAAGAATGTTTGAGCTCATCACTGGAGATTCCTAAAATAATTATCAAAGCAATTTTTTTAAACACTCAAAAAATATGACTTAAATGTAAACCATTAGGTATAATTATTGTGATATTTACCTGACCACAAATATTAATGTGAAGCGGTGGAGTTACTTGATGATGATCTGTTCCCAAATTAGTTAAATTGTCATTGCAAAAAATCGAATGAGGAGGACTTAGTTGGCCCCCTTGTTTCGGAAAAACCTGAGTTTTGTGACCTCTTGTAGCATTAGAATTTGATGACACATCGCTAACAAAAATAAAAAAATAAAAAAAATTGAACAAAAAACTACATTTATTTGAAAAAAAAAAAAAAAAAAAAACAATAAAGTTCTTTTAGCTCATTAATTAATTTAACATTTAAAATTTTAAAATGGTTTCCTTCTTCTTCAAAAAAAATTCATTAAATTTATCTTTCATTTTTAATTCTAATTACGAACCTGAATTGATGTAAATAGTTTTTGCCATATTGCACATGATTCACCCAATTTGATACTTTTTTGTTATGCAGACTTTGCCTACTAGAATTATTCGACAAATGAAGATTACTTCTATTCCCATGACTTGTAGTCAAAATTCTAGAATACTGGGTTGGAGAATTATTCCCAGTGGATGATTTATTATTCGAATTCATTTTAATAACTTCAAAAAAAAAAAAAAAAAAAAAAAAATTAATAATAGAAACCAGATCATACTCTCATAGATTTCCTTTAAAAAATTAAAGTTTAGAAAAAAAATTTGCAAAGAAATAATGAATTTAATACAAATCAATAAAATTTATACTTTTGTGTTTTACTATTCATTACAATTTAAATTTTGATTGTTTAACAACCAAAAATTTATTTAACTTTCCATACAAACACCTATTTTTTTTTCTTTTAATGCAATTAAATTACAAAAATTATGATAATGAATTGAGAACATTAATTAATAATATGCACAAATTAACAATATCTTTAAAAAAAAAAAAAAAATTTTTTTGTTGCTTACATTTAAAGTTTAAATATTAATTTCAAATTAATTATTTTTTCTTAACAATTCCAATATTAATAAAATTACAAAAAATTATTTATAATGCCTGTTTAAAAGAGACGCTAATGTACGTTTCGGCTTTTTGTTCAAATGAGAGACCACCTCTCGTTACATTAAAACATTAGAATATAATTTAAAGCCAAATCATACAATGAAGTGCCCTTGAAAAGTTAAGAAAACCAATAAGCATACTTACTTTTATTGAAATTTACAATATAAAAAATCAATATAAGCGTCCAGGCGAAAACAAATATAAGGATAATAATTATGAAAGTTTTTGCAAAAGGTTTTAAATGTGAAATAAAAGTTACACAATAGATAGAATAAGTAAGCCTAGCTATATAAAAAAAAAGAGTGTAGACGTCCCATGGGAGAGCATTTGTAAAAAAAAAGCCAAATTATTATAGATTATTGTAATTTTTACCTTAGCTGAACTTGATGATTTCTTTTCTAACAACTTCCACTAACTTTTATTATTAAAATTCACGCCCCACAACGTAAGACATTCTTTTAATGTTGAAACACGAGATTTTGCAACAACGCAGAGTCAATTTTCATTCTATCCTACCAAGCCGACCTCTGACAACTGAAATAAACATATGAAATTGACCAATCACATGCAAGCTACTACAGGAAGTGACGTAAATGATTTTTAGAATATAATAGTATTTTCTTTTAAAAAAAAAGTTTTTTAAACCATAGATGCAATTTTGAAAATGCCTTTTCTTTTGAAATTATTAAATATATAATAATTAAATAAAAATTTAGGTAATTTAAAAAAATATAATTTAATAAAATTATATTAATATAACGTCTTCACTTATTGGATCCATGAGTCATGTGGTAAAAATTTCTTAAATGTCATTGGTTAATTTAAAGTACATTGTTGATGTTTTTGAAATGACGTAGTCATTATATCAATTCCGTGAACAGAAGTCTGTGACAGAGTTTTCATAAGATTTTGTGGTGTAGAATGAAATCAGTTGGGCTGATTGTGTTATTTACAATCAAAGGTCGATAGTTAATGCAATTTAGTCTGGAAATATTCTTTCTAACGTGGTGTTTAATATTTAAGTGTGGAAGTAATAGTCTGGACGATTTCCTGATCGAGACAAAGAGGCCATTTTGTTATTTTTAATAAAGGCCTTTGTTCGTGTCTGTCAGATGCATATGGAATATTTATTCCAATCGTATAAAGTAGATAGGTTATTTCAACAGATCTTTAAAGTTCGAGGAAGTATTGTTTTAAATAATAAAAATATTTACATCAACAGGAATTCAAATTGTACAAATTTTGTAAGTAAATTTTTAAATTATTATTGGTAATGCCGTGTGTGCCCTAATTTCTCAAAAGTCGGAATATATCGGTTTTCTCGTAAATAAAATACATATTAAAGTCCTTTTTGCTCAAAATGGAGTCAGCACGTTTTCTCTACCGAATAAAAAATTTGTTTTATTTGGTTGAGAGAAAAAAAAAAAATTATTTCTTTTACAGTGCAATGACAAATGCGACAGCAGTAGAAAACTGTGCAAAACCCGGCAGCAAAATGAGTAATTATTATCAAAGAAGCCGGATGTATACTAATAGAAGTGCCACTTACTTTAAAAGTACTAATTCTCCAGCAAAGAACATTCGTCAGCATAATGAAAATATTGTCTGTGATAAGAATAAGTTAAGACCAAAGTCTACTGAACCTTTTGTAGTCTTAATGCCAAATCCCACCAGGCATGGATCTCCTAAATTAAAGCAAAGTCCTCGAGCCAGTCCGTCCAAAGAAAGAAATATAAGATCGTCTCCAACAATTGGGGGTCATTATGCAGGAGCAAAATTTAGCGAGCCCCCTGCTCCGACTTCACTTCCAAAACCACCATTGCACTGGACATCATTAATGTCAGGCCCTCTGAATATTGGGGAAAAATTGGACAAAAGTTATGACATCAGTCATCAGCTCAAACTTTTGCTTAACGTCCAAGCTTGACTCAAAGCTTGAGCTCTTGAGACAGTTTTAATTAAGTTACATTGAAAGGAACTTTGTTT